TGGTTAGCACAGTCCCAGAAAAACGGCGGACGCTGCTGATTTTCCGACATGGGCCTCACAAGCCCCGCTCAGCCCCGGGGTGCAGCCAGGCCAGAGGAGAAACAACCCCGCGTGGCAGGCAGCATCTGTTGTGTGGCCTGGAACGACGAAGAGTCCCACGTGTTGATCCAAAATGACACTGATGGTGTAGTTGAAAAAGACAGGTTGCAGGTGATACTCTAGAGCGTTATTTATACATAAGAACAAAACGAGACCATATATTTTTATCCGTCCATTGAGACCTGGAGATGACAGGACGCGGTCCTGGTAGGAGAGCACATACATCCCCGGAGGGGAGTGGGATTAAGCTGGAGTCAGGGGGTGTTTTGCTCTACCCATAGTTAGAACTTTGTATCGTGGGGACGGACTGCGTTAATACATTATCTGTGTAACCTAACCCATTTTGTAACCCATCATTTATGTCATCTAAAAATAGAGAATCTGTATATTTGGAAACAAATTTAAAGAAGGGGAGGGAAGCACTCTGCTAGAATGCAGTGACCTGCAGTGTTTCGGCCCTGACTCCTGTGTCCTCGGGCAAATCACCTTCCCTGACAACATGGGCCTCCTTTTCTAGAATAAGCTGTCAGTAATCCCTCCCGGCAGGCTACTGTGAGAGGCCCAGGGAGCTCATCGGGAAAACTATAAAGTGCCTGCAGTGGTGAGCTCCTGGGACAGAAGAGCCTAGCCGATAGTGTTCCAGGTTCCAACCACGAAGTGTGGCAAAGTCAAGTTACCTTCCACTAGAGCCACTCCTCATCTGCGCACCCCTACAAGACAGTGCTGGCTCGGGCTCGCACAGCCCATCCTCAGGGTGTGTTGCTGGCTACTCGGTAGCCTGACAGCTGAATACTGGAGAGAGTAGGAAGGATCCAGGCAGGAGGGCCTTTCCTCCCCATTAATCATCTACTGCGTTCCTCCCTTGTTTAAAGACCCAAAGAGAGGCTCAGGGGGGTGAAAGAGAGCCAAAGAAGACACTAGAGCAAGCGCAGGGCAGGGCTGCACACCGGAACAGGCGCGTCCTGGATTCCTGTCTAGGCCCCAGGCAGAAGCAGAAGGGCACTTCCTAGGCAACAGGAGGGCAGGGCCACCCCTTGCTCACACTCTCTCCCAGCACCGTGCCCTCCACGTGAGAGTGGAGCGAGCTCAGCCCAGTGTGCCCTCGGTTCGGAGTACTGGCTTGGCCATCACACCCCCTGCGGCCACACTCCAAACACACACTTCCCGCCCTGGGGCCTGGGCTAGACCTCTCAGCTGAGGTCCGCTCTGCTCCCAGGTGGGAGAGATTTGGGCACTTACTTTGTAAGGATTTTATGAGGATTAAGATAATCTACGTAAAGCACTTACCACATTGCCTACCAGAAAGGAGGTCGTTAAACGTTAGCTTCTCTTATTATTGCTACATTATTATTACAATTATTATTATTATTAACTTAGAGATGTTCTGGGTGAGCTTAAAAAAAAAAGGAGGGGAAGGGAAAGGAGAGGCCATCTGAATCAAATATAATAGCAATTAAAAATATCACCAGTTTCGTTTTCCCTCTCTCTCTGGTTTCAAAAGGTATCTAATTCCACTAGTGATTAACCGCATTCATGCAGAAAGTTTGGAAGTTCCCCTCCAAAGTCCTCACAACCCTTCCCAGCTTCAGGAGCCCCTTGTCGGGTGGGGCACACCCCCCCCCACCCGCCTTCCCACCAAGTCCTCCAGCACTCAGTTCCCTTTTAAACACATGAGCACTGGGCTCAAGTTAGAACTTAAAAACCTTGTTTTGTTTTCATTTATTTACCTCTATGGCTGCTTTCTATTTATGGCAAGTAATGCTGATTTTCTATTCTGGGATCGATAGAATATTTCCCTCTACAATGTTCATCTAAGTGAAAACTTGAATTGACTTCAATGAAAAATATTAAGTAAATCGCAGTATTAGGCAGGACACACGTTTGGGGATAATCCTAACGGGGGCCCTTGGATGTATGTTGAAACACTCCCAATAGTCCTACCAGCTCAGAGAGTTTCTTCGTTTTGTGGACGAGACAAGCAAGGCACGAGCTGGTTCAAGTCCAGAGCAGAACGCTGTCCCAAACCCAGGCCTTCAAGAGCATCCCTGATTTGTTAAAATTTAAGCCAAACACTCAGCCTCCTTTTTTCTAGACTGAATGAAGAAGAGATTGCAGATTACAGCTAGAAAAGTTAAGTGTATTAATCTTTTCCACCCACAAGACCAGCTGTTATAAGGAAGGACGTTGACCAGAGCACAGCAGAGTAACAGAAAGTCAAAAGCAACACTGCTCTTTCCCCGGAGAGAAATGCAACACCAACGAGAAAAACAGGCAGACAGCACAGCACCAAGGAAACATTACTTCGTTCTTCCTTGAAGACAATATTGAAGGCAGGTTTGTTATAGCCACGCGCAGCCCCTCCCTGGATCCCCTCCCTCGCCCACCCACCGCCCACCCCCCATCTCCCAGGTGGACAGCAGCTCGCTCCAGGACAGAGCAAGCGAGCAGTGCGAAGTGGAAATGGAGGTGAGATGAGAAGCCGAAATCTCAAGAAGAATGGGTTTGTCCACAAGCACATACTTGGGGGTCAGTTGAAGAAGATGGTTTGGAGCATCTCTTTTGCTTTGCAGCTGCCGACCAGGAGCTGGATGGGGAGTTCAGGGCTTCTACTTGCCCAGGCCTGTGAGCTGGAGAGTCAAGTTAAGAAGAAGCACAGCTGTAGCCCCTCGATCCCACGTGTGGGGTTGTCTGGTGGCAGCAACCTTCACCGCCGTGATTGTCCAGGCTGATGCGGCAGGTGTGGCCCGAGGCGTACGCCCCCTCCCTGGAAGCATCTCTTCTTGACACCTGGGGCTTCCAGGAAGAGGGTGGTCTTCTCAGATAAGACAGCGGAATGAGTCTCCTCCTTCCTTGGACAAACTCTACATCTCCTCCTACTCAGTCTTCCATGCGGGTGCTCTATTACTGGGACTCTGGGAAGCCAGACCTCTTAGAAATGCCCGGCTGGCAGCTGTCCAGACAAAGCACCTCTGCTCCTGTCCTATAAACTTCCAACATGGCTATTGGGTGCATTGCCACATCATCCCAGCCCCGGTCCAAAGCCACAGTGAAGAAGAGACCTTCTCCGCAAAAGAGACCATCTTCTTGACAATGGCAAGGGCTTCCGTTTCCTCAATCACTACTGTTTCACTGGTCCAGGGTGCTCATGACCTCTGCAGACACCAATCAGGTGCTGACCCACAGAAGTGTGTCCCAAGAGTCCAGAAGATGATGGCTTGAGGATATGGGAAGATCTCATTTTTCCACGCACGCTGTCCTCTGTGGGTCCCTGTTGAATCCAAGTTACCATTGAATATGGTAGACCTACCACCAAGAAATCATGGTTTACACCAGCAGATAAGCTTGCCAAGCTCCTGGGAAAAGAAGCATTTCGTAGGGAACCAATCCTACTGGATGTATGCTCATGTGTATGCGTCTACGTATGCAGTAGCAGGTACTGTCGACTTAGAGAGAAAAGCTTACCAGTTGCCACAAAGCACTAACCTATTCCTCCTCACGATGATCTGGTTCTCATGATCTCTTAGTTGCTCCCTAAGAAGTTCTTTGTGCTTTGAGATCAGAGACCTCATTTAGACAGCCTGGGAAGAACTGGACACCTGAATTCACTTTTCCATGAAAAAGTGTAGAGAGAAAATGCAGCTATGAGGAGGCCTGTTAATCTTCTCTGGGAGGGTCCCCTATGTGGGGTGACCAGCCGGCCTCCTTTGCCTGGAACTGAGAGCATTCCTGGGATGTGAGACTTGCAGTACAAAAAGTGGGGTGTCTGATCATCCTTCCCATTATTTCTGAGGACAGAGAGAAGGGGGAGAGCCAGTGGGTTCTCCTTCCACAGATAAAATAGGTGATAAGGAGGCAATTGTGGCTTCTGGGATGACTTAGGAAGGAAAGTGGGGTCAACAGATCAAACACAAGGGCAAGGAGAACTGGTGAGGCTAGAAACTTTGGGCCCATCTATATTTCATAACCTCCCCCACCACCCAGCACCCACATTGCCTTTTCGCTGGGCTGGGTCCCTAAGGACCAGCAATCCATCTTCGCAATAGCATTTTTATCAGCAGTCAAAAGAAAGGCTACCAGAAAAAATCTGCCCTCAAGAGTTTCAACCTGGGGAGATAATTCACCCCAAGACGAAATGATTTGCTGCTAGCTTCGAGATCAAGGCGGCATCTCCTAAGGAGCTTGGAGGAAGTGAGATGCTTAAAAAGATGCAGAAAAATGGCGCCCCAGCAGCTTCACAGGCAGGGGGCCAGTGAATTTTCCCCAGAAAGTAGTGGTCTGTGATTATGTCTTTGCCCCAGTGAGCAAAATGCCTGCCCTGTGCCAAACACTGCCTTGGCACAGGGCCCAGAAAGGCCCTGAAATGTGTCTTATTGGAGCAACTTCATTTCCTTGCCAAAGACCATCCTTTGGCAGTGTTCTCAGTAATGGTGCCGTTCCTTTTCCCATGTCATGGAAGGAAAGTGGATCAAGATTCATTCCACGTGACCTCAAACCCGGTATGCCGATGAGAAAAATGTCATCTTTAAACACATAGAGAAATTAGACGAACAGTAAAGATGCCTTTGGATAATGGATCCAAAATCAAAACCTGAGCAGTTTCCAGAACTATCCCCTAGAAAAAAGAGAAATGTTCATATCTATCAACCAGAAAATACTGACGTTTCACTTGTCAGCTCTTTTGTGCTTCTGGACAGACATCTTGGCATTGGTATCAACTTGATTTCATTACAAAAGCCTTGATTAATTCACCCACCAAAGTATGTCCAGGAGGTGGCCAGAATGGAGAAAAGACTTAAAAGTGTGCGTAGATGGCAGATCAGCGTCTCCCAATATCTAGGGGCTCTCAAAGGGGATAGGGAGCTAACTGCATTGGCCTCGATGCAAGATGGAGCAGCGATAGGACTGTGTCCCAAGAAAGGGAAAAACTTTCTTACAATTAAAACTTCCCTACAATAGAAGGAACTGCAGTAGGAGGTAGTGAGCTCCTATACCTGGAGGTGTGCAAGCAGAGACTGACCAGACTTCCAGGGATGCTATGGAAGATGCTACTCCTGCACTGGATGGGAGGCTGGATCTGGGGATGCCTGAAGTCCCTTCTCAACTCCAAGATTCTCCATATTCTGGCCTTGGGTCCTCTCCCACACTGTGCTCCATGTACCTTCCCTGGGCCCTTGGCCCCATTGCCTTGTGCCTCACGGGTGGTGATGAGGGTCAGGAGAGATACCAGGGTGTCCTGTTCATGCAGACACGAATGGGAATGAATGGCTTAATCATGAGCCATGTTCTCAATCAGAAGCATGATTCCAAGGATTCTGGGTCATTGTGTATGGGCAGTTTCTCAAGTTCCTGGTGGTGTCCACTATGCAGAACTGTGTACCTAGGGAGGAAGGCAAGAAAGCATGAGAATTCAACAGGCATCCTTCAAATGCCCCCAAGAGAGTGTTCCCACCCACTACTGTTGACTTCCTTTCTTCCATGCATGCTTCTGAGAGCATGGCGAGGTGGGGCCGCGCATGGGGGGACATCAAGAGGGAAGTCCCCAGAACTGAATCCAAGTTGCAAGCTAAGTTTCCTCCACCAGGGAGGGTTCTGAATTCAGTAATATCAAAGTGCTGAGATTCGTAAAGCACTCAGAGTCTGAGAGACACAGTAACTGTATTTGTTTCTTTGATTCCTTTTGGTGACATTTGGGAAAGTAAATCAATTAGATGATCAAACAGCCTGTTGACTCCAAGCATCACCGTGAAATTTACTACTTGACAAGTGTGTATTATTTGTCTGCAGCATCACACAGCTGCACTCGTATATTAAGTGCCTTTAAATCAATCTCAATAGCAAGTGGGTCTTATCATCAGTAACCCAGATTCCAGCATCTGGCAGTTATTCTTATGAAATTTCTACAGAGTTTCGGAGCACGACCACCGCTCACTTCCCTCAGGCCAATGTCAAGCCCATTCAGTAGAGCAAAGAAACACATGCCAGTTTTTTGGCATCATAGGCTGACAATCCACTTGGCCATGGCTTCTCATGAATTACATTAATGCTTTGCTTTGAATTATAATGAATTATTGCTGACTTCTAGTGACTGATTGGTATTTACCAGGTACCGTACACAAACTTCTCCAGTGTCACCTTATTTAATCTTCACAACGGAAGATAGTATTATATTTTGCAGTTGAACAAAGTGACACAGAGCTTCAGTGACTTGCCCAAGAGAATAAAGGTAATAGGTGAAGAAAAAGTCAACCAAACTCTATCTGATGCCAATACCCATGTTCTCACACAACCCTTGGACCAGGTCTGGACTTAGAACAGTGGGTCTCAACAGGGACAATTAGGAGACATCTTTGGTTGTCATGGCCTTTATGCAAGGGCATCTAGTGGGTGGAGACCAAGGTGCTGCTAGACATTGTGCAACACACAGCACAGTGTCCCACAACAGAGAGTTACCTTGTCCCAAATGTCCACAGAGCCACAGCTGAGAAACCCTGATCTCAAATAAGAAGTCCTCTGAGCTGGCAGAAAGCAGATGTTAGCTGAGGAACAGAGACAAGGTGACAGACACGAGTCTGAGCTCTCAGAGAACTGTCCACTGCAGCTGCCGCTGGGCTTGAGGCTGGGTGGGGGAGATGGGGGATGGGACTTGAAAAACCACCTGCTAGCACCCGCTAGACTAGCGTTGAGAAGACTCGAGTGGAAATGGCTCTAGAGAGGAGGATCATGCACTTCTAATGAGGATGACTAGGTAAGGTGTCCCGGGGAGGTATGTGACTGAAGACCTCAGGGAAATCAGTGTTTCAGCTACTGAGTCATTAACGCTCAGCCCCAAAACCACTCCTCTACGCTTGACTTTGTAAGGATGCTGCAAACCGAGTATAAGCTTCGTATGGGGCTCCAACTGGGCTTCTCCACCAGGGGGCGCTGCAGGAGGATGGACGCCTGGGAGAAGGCACAGGGCCTTGCTCCTCTGACGGGTACCATCCCAGCCAGTCTTCTTCAACCCCACAGCTGAGTCCAGTTCGCAGTCTAACTCTTGTATAAGCAGCTTCACGGCAGCCCCTGAAGGATGGCACCGCCAGCTGGCCAGGGCCTCCTCTTCAGAGGTCTCTGTCTCTGCTGTGTGGGATCCCTCCTCTAATTTTCTGTTCCATCTGTTTGCTGTCTTGTCCTCTCAGCCCTGGAAGCAGTAGTTGCCTCAGACACAACTCGAGGGACTGAGAAAGTAAGCTGGGCTCCAGGCACCATTTTCCATAATCACATACATTGTTTCATTTGTATCATTTACTCTTCTCAACTCTAAGTGGTACCTACAATACTTAAACCCATTTTATAGACGAGAAAACCGAGACTCAGAGAAGCAAAGCAATTGAGAGAAGTCCACAGTGTCCGTGATGCCTGACCTCAAAACTCTTAACCCTTTACCCTGTTTGTGGCAAGTAACTTTCACAGGCCATCAAGGGCACCCCTCCCACACCAAGTTCATGTGAAGAGGGTGTTCTGGTTGAAAATGAAAACTGATACACGTGATCACATTAGAAAATGTGCTTTTACGGGGTATAGGCACGTCTCTCCAGCAGCCTTTCCTCTATCTCTCCTAAGCATCTGCTTCTCATGTGCCCTTGAACAGATAGTTCGGGAATGACTAGAGAAGAGATGTGGAACTGGAGTGGATATTGCAAGTGGAGGTTCCCTTTACCCAGAGCACAGCTTAAGGACAGCAGCCTTTTGAGAAATGGGAGTCGGCAGAAGGACATGCTTTCTAGTTACAACACGTGTGTGGGGAGGGTCCTCACCGTGGTGTGGCGGGTAGTACGCACAGGATGGAGGAACCAGTCTGAGACTTCAGTGGTGGGACCGAATGAGCGGCTGTGTGTCTGCAATGGAGTCTGGCCCGAAGAGGTACTCTCTGGGCTTGGGTGTACATTCCCAAGTCTCCATGAGATACAGATCTTTAACTTCATGTTTTCACTTTCATAGTGTATGGGTATTGAAGCAGATCCAGGGGTCATCAGGACAGCCACATTATGAACCTACACTGCCTTGGGAATTCAGATCCCACACTTACATGAGGTTCACCCTGATGTCCCACTGACAGTGGCAAGCTTTAGGTTTTGTCTCTGCAAGTAGGACACATGGACCTCCAGCAGTCTGTAATTATATTCATGGGGATCTTACACATCCCCAGTTTGAGGACCAGTGGGGAAAAGGAAGCACACTTAATGGATTAACCAACCCTGAAACAAAACAGCCTTCAAGCCCTGACATGACCATCTGCTGGTTGTGTGAGCTGGTCAAGGAGATCAGTTCCGCCTACCTTACAGCTTCTTTGTGATGATAAAATTACCATCTCTAAAGGGCTTAGCAAAGGGCTGGAAGCAGAGTAGATACTGGTATCTTCACTGTTAAGGAAGCCAAGGTTCAGAAAAATATGACTTTCCTAGGGTCCAAGAAGTAGTTACAGGTGGGATGGTTAAGCATACAAATTCTTAATGCCTGAGTAAATCCTGGCTCTGACAGTCACTAACTCTGGGAATTACTACAATTCACAGGGTTGTTGTGAGCATTAGATGAGATAATGCACACAAAATGCTTATTAGAATATGACGGCCAAGTAGTAAGCACTCCATAAACGTTAATGAGCGCTGTTGCGACTTGACATTGGAGATAAAATTGAAGCCGGTTCTTGATCGCTGATTTGGTGCAGAAATCCATTCTTTAGTAATTGGTCAGACATTTGTTCACCTAGCAATTGATCACAGAGCCAAAAGAAACCTTCATGATGGGTTTACAGATAAAGAAAGAGCCCCAGAGACAGCCTGTCATCTGTCAGAGTGGCAACAGCCTCTAGGTTCGGTTTGGTTTACGATCTTACTTGGCATTCTGCAGCTGTGTGGAGTGAAACGCAGACCCCAGATGTGTGGGTGTAAACCTGGGCAGTTTCAAGTCCAGATGAAAAAAACTCACGGCTGTTTCCCAAGCAACGGCGAGGCGGGAGGGAGCTCCCTTCAAGCTGGGTTGCTTCCCCCCTTAGCATTAATTTACTCAAACATGAAGGGAGCCACATTAGGTTTGGTAATTACCTGAGTCTACAATTCATTCACTGAACAATTAGCATCGCACTTAGAGCAGCTTGGATGCAATAATTAGTCACATAATAATAGCCCCCTCTGCCTGCCCAGCCTGGCATTTTAAGGAAATGATTAGACTTTATTCCACGTCACCCCAGCACTCCCCTGGCACGGCGGTGCTCACATGGGGTGCCTGCCAGAGGTTTTAATTATTAAAATAGGACATGCATGGGTTTAAAGGGATTCAACCCTAAGGCAGAGTTTCCTGAAGCTGGAGCCCTAAAACCTGTGAACAGAGACCTCACATGGGGCATTTTCTTGATGTTGGGAAGAATGAGACTTTCAAGTCCTTGGCCTTTTTCATTCGGCCACTTATTTAAAAACAGGGGCACATGTTGGCTCAGTGGGTTAAGCCTCTGCCTTCAGCTCGGGTCATGGTCTCAGGGTCCTGGGATCAAGCCCCACCTCGGGCTCTCTGCTCAGCGGGGAGCCCCCCTCTGCCTGCCTCTCTGCCTACTTGTGATCTCTCTGTCAAATAAAACAAACAAACAAACATATTTTCAGTGTCTACCATGGTCTAGGAACTGTGCCATGCCCCAGAGACATGAGGGTGGTGAAGAAAATCCGCACAGTCTCTGTCCTTCTGGAGCCCACAGTGTGGCACCGGAGACCCACGGTCAGGTGCAAAGTCACAGCCTCAAGAGGTCTTGAGACGGGATGTTTGGGCTTGCCGTGAGACCATGTCACAGGGACACAGGTGAGGCTGTGCGGCAGGGTCTTGTGGACCAGGAAGCAGTGGAGATGAAAACTGAAGGGTAGGGAGGGGTTCAGCAGGCCAGGGGAGGGGGAGGCTGGCAGAAGGACCACTGCCACAGGGGTGGGTGGGTGCTCTGAGGGTCGAACAGGCTGCGGGTCAGTCTAAGATGAGCACGAAGGCGCGGTGAGGCTCAGCACACCATGGATGACTTCACTCAGCTGAAAGCCACGGAAAGCTGGCCATGGCTATGAGCAGAGCAGGTGCACGAGGACTTCATGTCTGGAAGAACACTCCAGCTGTGGTGTATAGAATGGACTGGAATGAGGTTGGAGCGGGAACCCAGAGGTAATTTAGGAGATGTATTAGCTTCCTATTGCTTCCGTACAAACAGCCACAAATTCATTGACTTAAAAGAACACAAATTAATTACCTTACAGTTCTGGGGATCAGAAGTCCAAAATGGGTCTCACTGGGCTACAGTCAAAGGAAGGGGTCGAGCTGCATTCTTTCTGGAGGCTCTAGAGGAGAAGCCCAGCCCTTAACTCTTGCGAA